TCACATGGTGTCTCTTACAAATGGAAATATTACAATTTAATAACAGGACACAAGATGCACCAAGTGCTCCTCAATTCGATAATTTATGAACCAATCTCATACATTCAGAAGGTAGAGGTGATTTGTTTCATGTAATAATAAGAAATAGAACAATTAAACTCGACCAAACACAAAAAGGCAAAGGTTAGTGTATTTTGGCACTTTTTTGTTATGTGAACTATTTCTTGTTATGTATATTGCAAACTACAAAATGATGAAATATGTTCTCAGCAATTATTCATGTGTGTTTAATGGTATATTTAAAATTTTAAATTACAAATTTGTATCAACATTCAGAGTGAATGTATGCTAGACAATATGCATCAGCATACATGTCTCACCAACTTGCTGGAATGAAAAAAACATTGCGGATTCTATTTGATATATGAAAAAGATGGAGTGCAGTAATATTCTTACTTGTTGAATTCCACTGTCATGGGTGTTGGTGAGCCTGTCTTTGTATGTACAATTTTATTCCTTTTCTTTCTCAATCTCTCCTCCAACTAATAACAAAGTAAATATGATAAGAAAACAGTTCTAATTCTAAATCAATTGATCATAACAAAAAACTGACCCTTGACTTAGCCTTATCGGGATCATCAAGACAGGTCCCAAGAATATCAGCAAGTTCAGGATCTTTGTCATAATTCTTCTCATCATCTTCTCTACCTTGAAAATCGCCAACCCCATCAGCATCGTTGTTGTCTTCTTCTTCAAATAAGGTTAGGAAATCTGTGGTTTTTGCCCTTTGGGATGAGCTTTGATTAGGTAGAAAATGAAAAGGGGAACGAATGGGAGAGCTTAGATATGTCAGCCATTGAGGTGAAACCCTGTTCCGTGGCACCTGGAAAAGAAATGCAGTGTGCTGCAGTGTAAACATCTGCAAACACAATTTTTCAGTAATTTGTAGACGCAAATTGGTATACGACAAATGAGGGAGATGCATCGTTACAGTAGAGTTAACTAAAATCATCACAAAAATATAGAGGATTGATAAAGAATAGGTATAGAGAGAAGAAGCACAAACATACCCTTTGAGAAAAAACAATCCTACAAAAACCCTTATCCTTGGGCTAGTACTAAACTCTTATAGAGCCTCGTACTTTAAGACATTGGTGTCATTCTGTCCAAAAATTAAAGTATATATGCCCTTCACTCAAATAGAAGACTAAATAGGAAATATGGCGCAATCTAATTCGTCGATTCGATATTCAATAAATATCGGGTCGGTAGATAAGATTATGACACGTGTATGTCTGTTAGCATAAACGGTATATATGCTTTAGTTTTTGAACGACAAAAATATCAACGTCCCAAAAATATAACGGAAGGTATTTGCATATCATCTACGATAGTTCAAGGATATATTTGTCTATTTCCCTTTTTTAATTTTATGAACATATAAAAAGTTCAACATAATAAACCAAAAATTAAAACCTTGTCTTTGAGGACATTGGTTTTCATTGGAGAAGTCGAATTATATTTTGTCCCCTCCATAAAAAACTTTACAAAATATTTTTTATTTATTTAACAAAAATAGTCAAAAGTGCTCTTAAGTGATGTGAAATGAATAAAAATATATTTTATTTATAATTTGATCTAAAAATGTCTTTATTACTAATACTTTATCTAAAAAAAATTTGCCGTTAATAGCTTGATTCAAAAATATCCATATTGTTATTAAATGGGTCAATAATGCTTTTTTCCCAAACAATTTTTTTATTTTATTTTTTAACACTTGTGGTTCTTGATAAAAAAATATTACTTTTAAAGAACCATATACTTTTTTTCTGTCTTTTAAGATTACTTTAACTAAGAGAAACGTAGGAAATTATTTTTTTCCTTAATCTCATTTTATCAATTAAAATAGAATAACTATATGTATCCTTTTAACGGATAATATATGTCATATATATAAGATCATAGTAAACCCATCATTAATTTTTAGTTTAAATTCCTTTTGAATTGTAGTATGATAAACATTTGCTAATAAAAAAATTTATTAGAAAAAAATATAAGAAAAAAAAAGCAAACAATACATTTATTTGAAAAGGGCTTTTTTGACCCATTAAATAATAATAAGGACAATTTTTGACAAAAATATTGATGGTATATGCATTTTTAGACCAAACTATAAAACGAGGGCATTTTTATCCATTTTACATAGTTTAAGGACATTTTTTTTTATCCTCTTTTGTTTATTTAAGGGAAAAGGGTCAAAATTACCCATTAACTTTCATTTATTAGTTGACTTTACCCTAACCGTTAAAATAAAGTTATTTTTACCCCTACTGTCTACAAACTTATCATTTGTACCCCTCCTTAGACGGAAACCCCCAAATCAATTAAAATTACTCAATTTTTATATAAAAAAACCCATCTCCCTAATATAACCCAAACCCGACCCATCTAACTAAATTAACCCAAAGAAATATGCCTATCCAATCAAAATTATTGACCTATAATTCCCAAAGAAGTCAGAAATAATTCCCAAAGAAGTCAGAAATAATTCCCAATTTTATCACATTTTCAGATTGCACACTGATTTTCAGCATATTATCATCTCCCAAATTTTAAAAATGATACAGCCTTCCTCTATGACTCAAGAATCTGCCAACCCCTTTGATTTTGTATCAAAGTTGGGGTCTTTTGCGTTTGATAACCCAAATAAACTAGAGTAATATATTGTATATGTACACTCAAGTTGGGCTTTTTTGTGTTTGAATCATAAGAAAAAGTCATTACAACCCTTATTTAGTTTGAATAGTAGTAGAATGGTGATATTTCGAGCAATTAAAAGAGTTATTCTTCAATTCTATAGAGATATGATGCTACATTGTGAGAGAATTTCACTTGTGTCTGTCTTTGTTGGTGTTAATTGTGAGGATAGCAATGGGTTGAGAGAAGATGGAGATGTTCCCAAGAATGAAGGAGTTGTATCCATTAATGGTGTTGAATCAGAATGTCCAAAAAAGGTGCTAATTTTGATGAGTGCTACTGATGTGGGGGCCACAAGGCATTTACTGAAGCCATTAAGGCAACCTTAAACCAACAATTCGGAGATGAATTTCAGGTCTTTTTGATTGATTTTGTTAGATTGTGTAGAATTTATGTGTAGACTATGATAAAGGATGTGAGAGTTCTCACGGTTCTTAACCAAGAACACTGAAAAGAAGGGGGAGAACACTGAGAAAAAGAACATTGGAAATGAGTTAATTTGGTTTGGGTTCTGTTTAGTTTAGTGGGTTGGGTTTGGGCTAAAGAAGGAATCGGGTAATTTCAATTTCAATTGGATAATTTTGGTCGATTTGGGAAAATCATCAAATTAAAGGGTATATTTATTAAGCTTGTAGACGGTAGGGATAAGAATAACTTCATTTTAGAGGTAATGATAAAGTCAACTGATAAATAAAAACTGAGAGGTAATTTTGATCTTTTTCCCTTTATTTAATGATATTTAATTTAACAAAATTGTCATCGAGATCTATAAATTACTCGTTACTTTACAAAACTTCAAATAGATAAAGAAGCTATTAAAGTTATGTTTGTCAATCGAGTAGGTGATTCTGAATTAGCTCTCGAAATTTTATATATAATCTCATCATTCCAAATGTTATCCTGGACAATAACAAATTGAAGGACGTTTTATATTATATCATTATTTATGTTCTTGTTAAATATATGAAGCTAAATATTATTCTTTCTTTCATTTTGTACTTTTTTTAAATCATATTTACTCCAAGATTCAAGTATCAAGGTTCAAGATAACCTTCATTGATCATATATTTAGGTATTTATACAAGAGTTTATACATATACAATTACATAAATAATCCTTAGTAGATACATTAATTAATACCTAGATACCATACTTATCATAAATTACTCGTTACTTTACAAAACTTCAAATAGATAAAGAAGCTATTAAAGTTATGCTTGTCAATCGAGTAAGTGATTCTGAATTAGCTCTCGAAATTTTATAAATAATCTCATCATTCCAAATGTTATCCAGGACAATAACAAATTGAAGGACGCTTTATATTATATCATTATTTATGTTCTTGTTAAATATAAGAAGCTAAATATTATTCTTTCATTCATTTTGTACTTCTTTTAAATCATATTTACTCCAAGATTCAAGTATCAAGGTTCAAAATAAACTTTTTAATATTTATTATTTTAAATTGAACATAAATATATACATATATATTCCCCATAGACAAGACTTGACACTACCTCATTGTATCTTGATTTATGAGAATATGTATAACTCTTGTCTTAGAGGCAAAACTTTGCTCAGGGGCTTTCGAACAACAATACATTATTCCCCATAAATAAGGCTTGACACTACCTCATTGTGTTTGTACTTGTTAGATGCTCTATAACTCTTTCCTTAGAGACAAAACTTAGCTCACTGGCTCATAATTTTTTGTTTAACTCTCGAAATTTTAACAATGCAACATAAATTGAGACAGAGGAAGTAGCGTATATTATTTAAAATTTAAAAATTATGTAAAGTACTGTTAACAAATAATTTGAAATTTCTAAAATCATATTAAAAATGTCACTCCCTGAGGCTATCCCTAGACGTAACACAAGACCTATAAATCACAATAACAGATAATTCGGTTATTTCTTCATTTTCAACAAAATCAAAATCAAACCAAACCCAAATAAAATCAGTTTGGTTTGATTTTGATAAGTTTTTATAAAAATCGTGAACACCTCTAATCGTGACCCGTATACCGAACCAAAATATTGAATTTGTGAAGAAAAAGAAAATCTAAACTAAACCGAAATACCAAAGAACCGAAGCCAAATCGAACTGAAACATGAAATAATCAAAATTGGATAACAAAATTAGATCGATTGAGTTCAATTTGTAGATTTTTTATATTTATGGGCACACCCCTATTTGAACATGTCACAATCGTTTATTTGCATTCACAATTTCAGATTCATAGTTCACAATATCAACTAGGACTTTGAGAGTAGAGACAAACAAACGTCCTGCTACGCAAAAATGGTGTCTCTCCATTGTCCGTTCCAAAGTATTGTAGGGTTTCATCGTCCCCTTCACAGACCTCAAACTTCCTTCATTACTTCTACACGCGATGCCTTTCCTACCCAGTTCAATTTCAGGTACAAAAGCTTCAATTTTAAGCTCTCATCTACTCAATTTTATCTTCTTCCTGTTTACTTGTCTAAGTCTATAATTTGTTGTAATTTAATAAAGGCTGTAGCAATCGTTGCATCCAAAATTGAGTTTTTTGCTCTCATTTTCCTCTTTCTTCATTTTTGACAAAACAGGGGTTTGAATTCTGAATAAATCGTGTTTCCGTAGAATTTATTTGTGACATACAATGCTTCTTCAGCTAATTAGATACCAAGTAATTGAGTGAGTGTGGTATCAGTTCAGAGGGGGGAGGGAGGACGAGAATGTGATTGAACATGCCCACATTGGCGATACAAATGTGACTCCGTACCAGGGGACCCAAACCCAAACCCAAGACTTCTAATTAAGGATGAATGAGTACTTATCACTCTATCACAATCCTTGTTGGTTGAACCCTGCAGTTTATTGTTAGGCTTAATAATGTACCAGGATTTCATAAATCTGCTAAATAGATCTGAAAGATGTTTCCCCTCCTTCACGGTTTGATTATTTGATGTAAAACCACACTTGCACAGTACAAAAGAGAAACTATTAAAGGTAATTGAATTAATAATATTGTACGACACCAACATGAGTTATGGTGCTTTGGTGGACGTGTTTCACTCTTAATCAAAGGTCTGGAGTTCGAGCCCTGAGTATGGAGAAAATTATGTTGGGAGCGTCACCCCCGATTGGGCCCTGTAGTGCGCGATCCAAATTTAGTCGGAGCTCTAATGTGGGCTCCGGACACCGGGTGGGCAACAAAAACAAAAAAAATAATATTGTATGACATCTAGACAAGCTTAGTTTATGGGGTGAAGTATTTTCAATTTTCAATCTTCATATTATTGTTAATGAATTTGTCTTTCATGTCCTACAGGCATTAGCAATCTTACATTACGTTGTCACGCCTTAAAAGGTCTATAGTTGTTTTCACTACCCAAGACTAGAGTGCGGATAACAGTCAGCTCCAGTTCTTATTATTGGATCAGATGTTTGGAAATAGAAGACCCCTTTTTCAGTATATGTTATCCAAATTTGGACACAATTAATGTAGCCTGACTTTGTTGTATATAAGGAGCCCCCTAAAATAATAAAATACAGACTTTTTAAGGTCGAGGTGTTGTGTTAGTCAGATGATTACTGATGTCTCCTTAGTATAACTTTGGTGGTTTATGATATCTTTTTCGTTATACTTTGATGGGATGTTATCAGAGATAGTTGTAACTACTTTGTTTTCTGTTTTGTTTTTCAGATTCAACAATGTTTTGAGTGTACATCTAAGGCAGAGACTACTACCTATATCAAAATCAAGCACCAATCCTTCAGGAGGACCAGAGAAAAACAAGGATGCATCAAGCCCACCATTAGCCACCATTTTGGCTGGTGTCTTAGTCTTTTGTGCCGTCTGTTGGATCGTAGGATCTATTGTAATCTGGCTCATAAGTCTCATAACTAATGTCCCGCCATCAAAATAAAACCAGAGTGTGCATTGTAGTTTGTTTGCGCTTTGATCACTAGCTAGACAAAGCCATCTTTTGATTGCAGCCTAAATAGTGATGCTTTCCTTTATGTTACCAAGTGTGAGATAAATACTGAGTTGCTAATTATTTCTAACAATGCTGAAACATTTGTGGAGTTTCTGGTTAGCTCAAATGGCATAATACTTCAGTTAGAGCATACCAGGAAGTATCACTCATTCTGTTTTCATCTAAATTTCAAAGTTTTTTTTTTTTTTTTTTTCTGTTTTAGTTTCTGAATAAGAGGTTTATACTTTATTCTTAAGGCATGACAGATCCAACCTTGAGATTTTGCCAATCTATTATTGACTTAACCATTATTGGATATTTATCATGTAATTTCATTTAACTGCCTGAATGTTTCTTCAAATATAAAGACATTTCAGAGCCAACTATGTATTGACTGTTGATACAAGACTATAGGATATGGATTGATTATTACTTAATCTTTGGAGTACTGTTGATTATTTATGCATAATTTTTTAGTCAAACACTGATTTATTGACTTTCTTTAGAAAAAACTTAAAACCCATTGTTGGCCATTAATAGGGTTTACACGGGGTGGTTTGATTTGTTACTTATCAAACCAAATCAAAATAACTATATTGGTTGATTAATTAATACTATATTTTTAGTAGTAATTGATAAATTGACAAACATATCTACTATTAAACACATAATAGTTATCTTGCTAGTCTATCAATAAATTTTCAACAATGTACTTGTTCAAACTTAACCAAATTTTAGTAATTAAACATAAAAGTCAGTATAAAATCTAAAAATTAATATTTTGTTAAATTTCAAAATTACAGATAATATTATAGCATCTCCAATTCGAAGAAATATAAACGTTTTTTATTATATCTTGAAATGCGAATATAAAAGAACAACTAAATTAACCTCCAATAAAAACTGATAATGAATTAAACAAATATATGAAGTTTTAAAATATATATTAAAATTATAGTATATGTTAATGTCGAACAAACCCAGCGAATATGTCCTCTATTCAAACTACTCGACCAACTCTAACTCCACAAAACTGATTCACATCAAATGGTTTCCCCCTCCCGCCAAAAAAATTAAACTAAACACGGATGACTCATACTCCAAGAATATGAGGAGTAGTTGGGGGTGTTAGAGATCACAAGGGTAACTGGCGATCATGTTATTGTAAAAATATCAACGCTCAGAATCATGTAATGGCTGAACCAGAGGCCCTTCTTCATGGTCCGCAAGTAGCCATTACCCATAGTTTGAATCTCATTGCTATTGCTTCCTTAATTCATCAATTTCCATCTATGAAAGAGATCATCTTGCGTACCAATTCATGTTGTCAACGAGGATCTTAACTCCTTTCCTCCCATAAAATGAAAAAAAGAAAGAAAAAGGAATGCTATGCTCAACCTATTTATGCTCATGTGATTGACTCTTGCAGGTTGCTTCTGAAGAGGATGGAGTGATCTCCACCATAATTTTTGACACGCCAATCAAGCAGCAAATTACTCTCTCCTCGTTAAAACTAAGAACAAATTTCCAATTGGAGTTCTAAGCTACCAGAATAAAGAGGAATTGAAAACATTGTCAAGAGAATTTTCAGATTGTATTGAAAGAAAATGATTTACAAATAGCTTCTTCAATCTTGATATGATGTACAAATGACTATATAGTAGTCCTAACTAGTAACCACCTCAGCTAACCATAGTTAATTTAATCACCTTTGTTACGTTAACCAAACCTCTAACTAACTAACTAACTAACTGCCTACTAACTATAAATGTGAACATATCCTGTACCAACTCTAACTAACTTTAACCAACTTATAAATCATCTTAGACTGTATCAATTCTTATATTCTCAATACCCCCTTCAAGCTAGATGGTATGAAGATATTCTTCATCCCTAGCTTAGAAATTAGATGAGAATGTTGAAATCGTCCCAGACTCTTAGTGAGGATATCTCTGTGGTAGATATGTATCTTGTATGCACCAAATCAGATTGGATTTTCCCCCTGATGAAATGACAGTCTATATCTATGTGTTTAGTCCTTATATAAAAGACTGAATTAGCAACAATCTGTAGAGAAGCTTTGTTGTCACAATATAGAGGTATTGGCAATTGTAAATTAACATCCAGTTCCTTGAATAGGCAAATCAACTAAAGAACTTCAGCAACAACTGAGGTCAGGCGTCTATACTCAGCTTCTGAAAATGGTAGGTTGCTTTTTGGATTTCCATGAGATCGGGGAATCACCAAACTTAGCCATGTAACCAATAATGGATTTCCTTGTGTTAAAATAGGATCCCCAATCAACATAAAAAAATCCTTGAAGAGTGTTGGAACCAGAAGAGGACATCAAAACTTTAATGCTAGGAGATTGTTTGATGTATTTGACCACCCTAAGTGCAGCTTCTAAGTGAGACTGTTTAGAAGCATGCACAAATTGACTGAAGCTTTGGACATCAAAGGTAATAACTGGCCTAGTAATGGTGAGGTACAACAACCTGCTCACAAGTCTTTGATACAATCTTGGATCTACTAAAAAAGGACCCTGACTATCTCCAATATGAGTGTCAAGCTCACAAGTTGTCAGCTTTTGGTTCAGTTCAATAGGTGTGGCAATAGGCTTAGATCCACTCAAAGCGAAATCTAATATAAGATCCATGACATATTTCCTCTGGTGCATGAGGATACCACTTGTCTGCCTAGCAAACTCAATACCAAGGAAATACCTAAGATCACATAGATCCTTGATCTTGAAGTTGTCTTTTAGATTCTTCTTAGCATCATCTATCAATGTCCTACTACTTTCTATAATCAATAAGTCATCATCACCATAAATCAGAACAATGACTATGCCATCTGATGATTTCATTGTTAATAAGGAATAGTTTAGGTGACTATATTGGAATCCTGCTGTGAGAAGAGCAAATGTAAGCTTTACATTTCATTGACTTGACATCCTTTGTCCCATTCTCTTTAAAACCTTGTGCTAATTACATATACACCTCTTCTTGTAAATCACCTGGCAAGAAGGCATTGTAACAATCCATTTGTTGAATGGATCAGCCATTAGTAGCAGCCAAAGAAATCACAGTCCTCACTGTTACCATTTTCACAACAGGTGAAAATGTTTCTTGATAATCAAGACCTTCCCTCTGACTGTACCCTTTGGCCACTAACCTGGCCTTAAACCTTTCTATTTGTCCATCAGGTTTGTATTTAACTTTGAACACCAATTTACACCCAATGGATTTCTTCCCACTTGGTAAGGAAACAATCTTCCAAGTCCCATTGTCCTCCAAGGCCTGTGTCTCATCTTGCTTACTTTTATCCATCTTACATCCTGGATTGCCTGATTATTAGAAGTTGGTTCTTTTTCTGCAGACATCTGAGACATAACTTTTGTATGAATTGGACAAACTACTATAAGCAACACTATTAGCAATAGGATATAAACAGAAAAGTGCAGATTTGGACTTTGGATCAGTAATGAGGTCCTTTTGCCAGATAGGAGGCCTATTTGATCTACCTAAGGTTTTTTGGGTAGGGGATAAAATCTCATCACGTCTTTTTAGAATTATAGGAGAAAATTCTGGATCCTCACCAGGGGCAACTCCTACAGTTTCAAGCACATCTATAGGAACTTTTTGTGGAAGGAGAGTAACCTCTGATCCTGATGGCAAGTGTGCAACACTCAAGGGTGTTGTGGGTAGGATAGGAGCTTCTGATTGGAGGGACTCATGTCGAACTTCATATGTGAGAGGAGCAGATGACTGATTTATAGGAACCAAGAACTTATCATCAATGACAAGAACATCAAGAGTACCTCCATTACAAGATTGAAAAGGAAAGATGTGCTCTAAAAATGTACATCTCTACTAACAAAGAAGGACTTAGATTTCAATTCATAAAGTTTATAGACTTTTTGAGTAGAATATAACCTAACATGACTTACTTAATGACTCTAGTTCCAAACTTGTCTCCCTTGATTAAGTTGGTGGCATAACATAAATAGCCAATAGTTCTCATGTAAGAGATAAGAGAGGTCATCCTGTTTATTGTGCAACATGTAATAAGTGCAACATGTAATAAGGTGATTTGTTCCCTAGAACAGTAAAAGGAACTCTATTGATGATGAAGACAACAACTAGAATACATTCACCCCAGAACCTAATAGGTAAGTGGCCTTGAACAGCCCTTACAGTTCTAAGTATGTGCACGTGTCTTCTCTCCGGAATTCTGCACTGTGTATTGGAAAATTCACCACGATTATCAGATTTGAGTGTTTTACTTTCTTACAAAATTCAGTTGCAATCATGATTAGAAAGTTCTTAAGCAAAGTACACACATCAAATTTAAGATGCAATAGGAACACCCAAGTCCATATAGAGTGATCATCCACCAAAGTAAGGAAAATTTTCATGTTATTATGAGTAGCAACCTATATGGTCCCCATACACTACATCAAAAATGATCTTTGACGGCAATTAATTAACGACAATAGCTTGATTGCCACTAAATATATATTTTTAACGGCAATTAGTACTCTTTGTATATGTCCCTAAAGCCTTTAGTAACATTGAATCCAATGACAATTAACTAATGTCGATAAAGGGTTTAACACTCTTTGTTAATGTGTATATTTATTGCCGCTAAAAAGTAATTTTGTTGTAGTGATACATCCATGTGAATCAAATGAAAACACTGAGATGATCTACTACTGCTAGACTGAAAAGGTAATCTGACTTGTTTGGCAATTGGACATATATCACAATGCTTAAAAACTAGATTATGTCTATTTTTAACAAAACTAGTTTTCTAATAACAATCATGGGCACATCCCCCATTCTTTGATGCCATATAGTGCCCTCTTCTCTCTAATCTGTCACATCTAGAGCCTTATTCTTGTAGTCCTCATTTTTTATTTGTGATCTCATTGTGTATAGGCCATTTTTCTCATTACGAATCCCCTTCACCTTCCAAAAGACAATAAAATCAGGAAAAAATGCTGCACAACAGTTCAATTCTCTTGTCAATTTTGATAAAGACAAGAGAGTGAAGTGAAACTCAATTATACATAAAACATTGTGAACTACACACCTCCTTCCAATTGATAGT